CATTTAATTACTATGAAAGTCAGATAAAAAATGTTTAGTTTTTTATATCCATTATTTATACAACTAGACAATTCCTGACATGTAAATTCTGAAAATATTTAAATGTCATTTAGTAATTTAGCATATTAAAAAAAAGACTTTTAAGCGACTTCAGAGACGTAATTTTAATTTTTAAATCAACCATTCACTACGAAACAGTTTAGATCAGTATCTACCTCAGAAACGTGGCTTTGACTGTTCTTGCAGCATAAATGAACTAGAAAATGGCCATATCTATATTATAGGAGCCCATACAAAACATTAATAAACTTATCAGCACAAAACTTATCACCACAAAACATATCTTTTCAAAAATTATCAGCGACAAAACTTATCATCACAGAACTTATCAAACTACAAAACTTATCAAAACAAAACTTATCAACTACAAAACTTATCAAACTACATAACGTATCAAACTCAAAACTTATCAATAAAATTCATGAATCTAAATTTTCAAATCATGGAAATGTTCCAACTATTGTTTAAAAATCCGAGAATTTTAAACTCTCAGTTTACCGGCCTCCTTTCTCCAAAATGGAGGCTAACTTTTTTCTCTCTCAGAATGGTACAAACTTACTTAAGGATGATGCAATCTAAAGATCACATAACAGAGAAGACCTGAAAGCTTTGTGTAGCAGCTCATATAGTCTAGTTCCAGACAATGATGCTGGATTCAGCAGCTCATTCATCAACCACTTTTGCACTAAATGAATAAAATATATGAAAACCTTAATAAATCTAAACCAGAATTTACTCTTGGAATATTCATAGACTTAAAGAAAGCTTATGATTGTTGTGATTTAGACATACTTTTAAAAAAACAAATTTTTTCTGGTTACAAAAATGTGGCCAACACCTGGTTTAAAAATTATCTTGTTAATAGAACTAAATATGTATGTATAAAAGGAGTTTTTTCAACAGAAAGAATTATAACATGTGGTGTTCCTCAAGGAAGTGTTTTAGGGCCCCTACTGTTTCTGCTTTATATAAACGATCAGCCCCTAGCAACATCTTTTTTTACTAGCCCCTTGCAGATGATACTAGTTTTTTAAAGTCATTTCCTAACATTGCAAGCCTAATACTTGATGCAAACACTCAACTAAAAAAAGCAGCAATATTTCAAGTTTCAAGCAAATCGTTGTCACTAAATGTCTCCAAAACAAAGTATAAAGTATTTAGAAATAGAAATATGCACTTTGACTCCAACAGTTGTAATATATCAATAGGAAATGAGATACTTGAGAGGATTGGTAATGACTGTTTGAACAAATATTTCAAATTTGTTGGACTTAAACTTGACGAATTTTTAAACTAGGATTTTAAAATTGAACATATCTCGAATAAAATTGCTAGCTCAATCTTTGCTTTGTCTCAAATTAAGAATATCATACCATTAAATATTTGACTACTTGTTTATAACTCTCTTGTAAGGCCTCATATTGAATATTGAATTGTTACTTGTGGAGGGGTTAAAAACTTTAAACTGCAAAAAATCAGATCTTTGCAAAAAAAAGGCAACCAGAGCAGTTAATAATAGTACTTTCAAGGCACATTCAAATCCATTATTTTCAAAACTGAAAGTTCTTAATCTTGATGATACATACAAACTTTGTGTTCTGACATTTATTCATGGAACCGAATAGAACAAAATCATATAAATTAGAACGGGTTTTAAACAAAAATTTAGAAAGCTTTCCGTCCGCAATTTTTCCTGAATTGTTGAATGAAATTAAAATTGACCTTAAAGAAACTAAATCTGCAAAAGTATTTAAACAATGCAAAGTGTAATTAATATTTATCTTGAGAATTATGAGAGGTATAAATGCAAAAAACCTAGCTGTATATCGTGTGAATAAATTTTATATAAAAAACTAAAATAACTGAACTTTATTAGCTTATTTCTGTTTCTGTATCTACCATCATTAACACCCTGAATTTCATTTATCTCTACATAAAAATCCCTCTGATCTCACCCTGCCACAGATCACCTGACAATCTCCTTCCTTCCAATCAACTCCTTACCTATCCAAAAACAAATCTTGATATGTGTAACCAATTACATTCAGTATTGTTAATTAACTTCAGGCCAACCACTCAAAACAACCAACCCTGGTAAGGCGGGTCCAAACTGCATAGAAAATTGTGATTGCTTATTTGTAATATCTCATGCGTTGTAGTTGAATAAAAATATGAAAATGAATAGTCTAGTTCCAGACAATGGTGGTGGATTTATTAGCTAATAATCTAGTTTCTAGGCAATGATGCTGGATTCAGCAGCTGATTGTCTAGCTTCAGACAATGGTGGTGGATTTATTAGCTAATAATCTAGTTTCTAGGCAATGATGCTGGATTCAGCAGCTGATTGTCTAGTTTCAGACAATAATGCTGTATTTAGCAGCAGATTATCTAGTTCCAAGCAATGGTGCTGGATTTAGCAGCAAATGATATAGTTCTAGACAATGATGCTGGATTCAGCAGTAGATAATCTAGTTTTAGACAATGATACTGGATTCAGCATCTAATAGTCCAGTTTCAGACTATGGTACTGGATTAAGCAGCTAATAATCTTGTTCCAAAAATGATATTGGATTCAGCAGTAGATAATCTAGTTTTAGACAATGATGCTGGATTCAGCAGTAGATAATCTAGTACTGGACAATGATGCTAAAATCAGCAGCAAATTTATAGTTCCAGACAATGATGCTGGATTTAGCATCTGTTAATTTAGTTCCAGACAATGATGCTGGATTTAGCAGCTGATAATCTAGTTCCATATAATGGCGCTGAATTATCAGCGGATAATCAAGTTCCAAACAATGATGCTGGATTCAGCAGTAAATAATCTAGTACCAGACAATGATGCTGGATTCAGCAGTAGATAATCTTGTTCCAGACAATGATGCTGGATTCAGCAGTAGATAATCTTGTTCCAGACAATGATGCTATATTCAGCAGTAGATAATCTAGTACTAGACAATGATGCTAAATTCAGCAGCAAATTTTATAGTTCCAGACAATGATGCTGGATTCAGCTGCTGAAAATCTAGTTCCAGACAATGGCGCTCATGAATTATCAGCGGATAATCTAGTTCCAGACAATGATGCTGGATTCAGCAGTAGATAATCTAGTAACTAGGCAATGGTGCTGGATTTAGCATCTGTTTATTTTATTACACTTCGTTGCATCAGAATATTAGTTCTCAGAACGGAAGGTTTTCTCTAATCTCGGGTCGCCTTTAGTTCACTTTTTCACCACAAGGTGTCTCACTTTGCTAAAGCAGTATACAGTTTATAACAACTAAAAACGTTTACTTTTTTGACAGTAAACTATTTAATGTGAATATTATAATTTAAAACTTATAATACATTTTAGAAGTAACATTCAAAAACTTGAACTACTATAATTAAGCATAATCCTATGCATTATCAGGAATTTCCGATTGTGAGTAGCACTGTCAGTATGGCGTTGGTCCGATACTACGCTGGGTAGTCCCAGTAAAATTTCAAGAAGAAATATTCTGACATAAAAGCTCATCAGCTATTCTCCATAGCACCAGTATGAATGGGTGTATGCTCTCATGTAATGAAGAATAAATGGTGGCTTAAAGAGTATCATTTAAAACATAAAGGAACGCCAAGAACCACTATATAAGCCTAGCTTAGTAAATATTATTTTATTTTATATAAATATTTATTCACACCTAAATAAGTAGTTAAATTCTAAATTCATTGTTTAATTCTTTATATAATAATTCATATCCAATGTTGGCAAATACAATTGTTATAAATTAAAAAGCTTTTTTTAAAACAAAAATTATTTATTATCTTTTAAAGATAAAACCGTCAGTTAATATTTCAAAATATACATTTTGGAATTAAATTGTAGTTCTTTTGTTTAATAATTTAGACATAACTTTAAAACTAAATAATATTTATAACACACATCTACATAATTCATATTAAACTTTAATATCTAAGCCATGTAATCTTAAGGATAAGCAATCAACTATAAATCTGTGTTTAAGCCAAACTAAAAGCTATGTTGCTTTTTAATTAAATCTTTCTGTGGCGATTTAACTTAAAAATAAAAATTGTGCTTAAGAAGCAGTTTTTAACATTTTTAAAGCCTGATATTTCAAACTTTTGGATTTGGTTATGTTTAAGAAAATAAAGTTTGTTACAAGGACAATGTTTATGATAAATCTAAATTTTAAAAATGTAAAAATATTAGTTATTGTCAAAGTTAAATTATAAGCGTGAAACTTTTTAATATATAATTATACAGTAGTAAATTATAAGCAAAATACATAAAGGAAAAAATTGAATAAGATAATAACTCATTCTTTAATCATCGATTAAAAAAAGCAGAGATCATTAGGGGAGGTAGATTTTTCAATTTTTCAAAACATCAAGATATTAATATCTAAAGATGTGACTTGAACTGCTGAATACTGTACATTTGTCCGTTTTTTGGTATTTTAAAATTGTTTTGCTAATGGCTAAAAAGCTAGATTTTTAATAATCTGACAAATATCTTTGAAAATTTCAGGTTTTTTCTTGATAATTTGCTCAATTTTCAAGAAAAATAATGTTTGTGAATGTTTGTGAATATCTACCAATTGTTAATACTGATCTAGAGTTATGTTAAGAACGACACAACAAACAAAATTGAATATCATTGACAATTAAGAACAAACAAGAAAGAAAATATCAAATCTTTCTATTTAATGTATCAAAGAAAACTTTAAAACTGGTGCAACTTGATTTTTATAAAAAAAAGTGCCAAATATTTTTACCCTTGGGATAAGTAAGAAAGCTTAATGTGGTTTTAATCAACTTCCATATTATTTATATTTTTATATATATTTTTAACTGTTTGAAATGTTAAAACTGCTAACTTTAATCAACTAAAAGAAAAAAAAATACTATAATTTGAAATTAGTTGTCAAACCAGAAGTTTTGTTTTATATAATAATATAAAATATCTCTAGCTGATAGTCTAGTTCTAGACATTGATGCTGGTTTCTGAAGCAGCTGATAATCTAGTTCTAGACATTGATGCTGGTTTCTGAAGCAGCTGATAATCTAGTTCCAGACAATGATGCTGGGTTCAGCAGCAGCTGATAATCTAGTTCCAGACAATGATGCTGGAAACAGCAGCTGATAATCTAGTTCCAGACAATGATACTGGATTCAGCAGCTGATAGTCTAGTTCCAGAAAATAATGCTGAATTTAGCAGCTGATAATCTAGTTCCAAGCAATGGTGCTGGATTTAGCAGCTAATAATCTAGTTTTAGAAAAATGATGCTGGATTTAGCAGCTGATAATCTAGTTCCAGACATCGATGATGGATTCAGCAGCTGATTATCAATTTCTAGACAATGATGCTGGATTCAGCAGCTGATAATCTAGTTCCAGGCATTGATGCTTGATTCAGCAGCTGATAATCTAGTTCCAGACAGTAATGCTGAATTTAGCAGCTGATAATCTAGTTCCAGACAATGATGCTGGATTCAGCAACTGATAATTTAGTTCCAGACAATGATACTAATTCAGCAGCTGATAATCTAGTGTTAGACTGATAATCTAGTTCCAGACAATGATGCTGGATTTGATCCCAGATGTACTCTTAGGCCTACAACAAAAATTTATTGGATTTTTATTAAAAAAATTTATTAAATTAAAAAAAAAAAATTTTCCCCAGAAAAGAAAAATATTTAGCGCAAAATATTGGTAAAAAGATTCATGCCATTTGATCAGTTCTGTAGAACATGAATAAACAAACATAAATAAACATGATAACATAAATTATTATTATTATTTTTTAAATTTATTGTTATTTTTTGGTTTCTATGCTTTTTTGAATTTAAAACTTACCCTAAAGTACCAAAGTACATATTTGAGTTTTTTCTCAACATACAAACATTATTTGCATATCCAGTATTAGTTGGCCATGTCCAAACCCAACCCTATAAACAAGAGACAGCTGAAATGGATTGAATGCATAATTTCAAGAAACGCAAATTACAACGGTATTCTTAGAACCTATGACTGTTTATTGAGAGCTCTGTGATCAAGTATCTTAAAAAACACTTTAATTCCCTTAACAATTAACATTGAAGAAGTTTTTACATTAATTGTGGTTTCCAAAAATTTGAAAGAAAATATTTATTTCCTGACAATTGAATCCTAGAAAGTGAAATTAATATTTTAAAACTTAAAACAGCTTGCAGACTAAGTATTTAACAAAAAAAGGCATTTTGAAGATTAATAAGAATAAGTCCAACAACTTTAAATTCAAGGGTACCGTTATGAATCGGACATTTGCCATCTTTGTATGGAGAGTGACGTGAAATTATAACACTTACAGTTCCTTAAATCCTCAAAGATCCAAAGTGCTATGATAATTTGCATCAATTTTCAAGAAGTGTTCCAACCCGATGGCTTTTGACTTACTATTTTGCCAAAGTTAAGTTTTAGTGGGTGGATAATGGCCAAGTGTATGGATTTATTATAATATTAATTCTACAGTAAACTAATTTGTTTAGGATCAGGTTGAGAAAATTCAGTAATTGGTTTCTGTGATGTCTCAGTGTTCAAAACCATTTTCAGTATATTTCCTGAAATTTGTATTGAAAAGAAAACATTTGAAGAATAATAAGAAATCTGTGAACAAATTAAAAAAGAATAAGAAATTCAATATAATAATTAAAAATAAATAATTTAAAAAATAATTCTCCTTTCATCTACAATACATTGCCGGTCACTCCCTTTAAAATAGTAACTTACTTCACACTGGGTGTTGGATTCACAGTACTGCTGGCAAACAGTGGCTGATGATACACTGCGTATTTCTTGTAGACCATACGAGCTGTACAAATCAACAGATGAAATCTGTTTTCAATATTATGGATTGTGATTTTTAAGTAAATCTGTTTTACATTCCAATTCAATGAGCTGCTGAAGTAAATTTATTGCATTGAAATTGCGATTTTCAAAGATCCAACCACTTTAAGCAAAAGATGAAGAAGATGAAGATAAAGGTATTTATATTTACGCTTTAAATTACATTAATGATGATTCCTTTAAATGTAAATTGCTAAACCTACGTTTCCCCCCCCCCAAAAAAATTTAATCTTTCCTCTAAAATGGCATATTTTTTAAAGTATTATGAACAATAAAAATGATGCACCATAACATTATACTCTTTAAGTTCTAAGGGCACCTAAAATTTGCAATTTTAACCAAAAAATTGCAAATTAGAATTTTTGTTTGTGGAAATTTGTAATGCCCAGGAATGACAGTTAATATTGTGAACTTTAAGTTTATAAACTGAGGACACAATTCATCAAATTTTAATAAACTTCTAAACTTTCTTAAAGGTAACATATTTCCTGTAATGCGGCTGGATTTTTGAAAATAGCGTTTTCAATGAACTAAATTTATCATTTAAAACTTAATAATTGCCAGAAGACTCGCATGCTGTGGAATGGAAGACTGCTTGTGGCTTATGACTGCTCGAAGACAAAAAAAGCTAGTGTGTGAATGGAAGGGGAAAATCTGAAAGTTTTATGAATAATAATTTCCTGTAGAGCTCTTGTATCATCATAAGCTTGGTTTCTAGAACACTCAGATACAGGACAAACAAATTCGGATCCCCTGAACAATTTCAAAATTATTTTAATCTTGAGACTTTGCACAGCCATATTTAGAGGCATTTTCATGTCACCTCCGAAAAAATGTTACAGAAAAAATGTTAAAATCTATACCATATATATTCAGCATGTATAATTTGCAAAATTCGAATCTGAATCTGATTTATTTGATTAATTTGATTATTTTTCATCAAAAATGATATTCCTATAATAAGTTATCTTGCTACTGGTTACCTAAAGTTGATTTAAATGATTCCTGGGTTATTAATAAATAGACTAATAGTTTAATGATTTGGACACCTTATTCAATTTTATTTACAGAACAAATATCTTATTCCAAATGCGTTACAAACATATTCAAAATTTGTAATAAAAAAGTAAGATAACATAAAAATAAGTAAGATCTGGTAAACTGCACTGAAAAAGCTCTTAGTGTTTAGCTTAAGTTCCTAATCTTAGCATAGAGATCTCTGGTGTTGGAAACAAATTAAACTAGAAGAAAAAAATGCATAGTTGTTTTTCATAATAAAAGTTTATTAATTAGCAAATATTACTCTAGTTTTAATTTCTTATCTTATGGAGCACTAACTAAATTTAAAATTTTATTAGTTATAAAATTTGCAGTGTTTTCTACCTCCTCCTTAATTCATTAAACCTATTTAAAAAATTGGAATAAATTGACCCTAGATAATTAATTTTAAACCAGCTTTTCAACTTTATTTTGATTTTTTCAACTTCTGATCGTCTCAATTCTAAGGCTGAAGAATGCTGTACTCACATGCATGTTGTTGAAGATAGAGTGAGATATCCACGTTTCCCAGTGGCAATACCCGAGGCAGCCAGATTCCTCTTAAAACAAGAATTTTCTTTAACTATTCATATCTTTTACCAGTTACAATACTTTTAACATTTTCAAAGGAACCATGGAATTAATATTTATTTGCCATCAATCTAATTAATGCATTTATTGAAATAAAAAGGTCCTTGAACCCCCTAATGCTGGTTCAAATCCTAAATCTCTAATTCACTTTCAATCTCTTTAGTGAAATCATCATAACTCTTTAACATTGAATTTGTAGTTCAGGATTTGAACTTGAGTTAAGTAGTTAAACAACCTCTTGAAACTTGTTGGATCAGATTATTTTAGATATTTTAATTTAAAAACATTATATTTGACCTCGCAGCATTTAAGACCACCAGCAAAGGGGAAAGGATGAGTATTAGGGCAGACAGACAGCTGTAAATATAATTTTATTATATGATTATTTGAGTTCGATCATTATTCTATCGCTTTTTTCATATACTGGGCTAATGCTGACCTTGAATACTTGCATGAACTCTACAGAATGATTAATATTTCTAAACCATGTTATAAAGTGAAGATTTGGGTTACAAATTTTGATTAAAAAAAATAAACATTGGTGCTAGGCAAAGGAGAAATTGAAGTTAGAAGCAGCATATTTAGTGAGGGAGGGGGTGCAGAGGCGCCATGATCCCCGCAAAAATTACCTCCGAGCCTCCGGATTTGCAGAATTACCTCCAGGCCCCGCAATACTGGTCTCCCAGCCTCCGTGACGTCACCAAGCCTCCCGCCATTCTGTCTCCACGCCCCGTATTTTGGTCTCCGCTTGTTGTTTTTATTTTTTGTTTAAATTTATTGGCTTAACCAAACAAATATCAAAATATATCTCTTCATAGTAGACTCCGTCATAGTTTTAAGAATCGTTTAATCAATAATTTTGACATGTTAATTCATTCAATTGTTCTGGAGTTGTTTTTCTGTAAAAGTTTACATTAAGTTGGAATGAGTAAAAGATGACCTTTATAAACGACTTATCTAATATTTTTGAAGGCATCATGATTTGAAGATTTTCTTTACTCTCGATTCCTTAGCATTACATTTTATCATAAAAATGCAAATTAATGAGGATCTGTCCTATAATATATGAGTTTTTGCGCACCCCCCCCCCCTCTGTATATCAATTTTTATTTATATGACTAATTCCTCGAATTTTTAATATATAAATTTAACTTATTAAAACAACAAGATATGACACGAAGCTGCCCTAACCTGTTAGTATAGCATGTAATAGACATTTAGACTATTTTAATTCTTTGTTTCAATTTTTAAAAAAATAGTTCTTCAATATTTTCTAAAGCATACGATAAATCACAAATACAAGGATTTCACAAAAACTACCTTGTTTTTTAAATTGCCACTGATATTGTTTGATTCGTATATGAGACCCCTCTAAAATAATATAAAATTTTTCTATCTTTATACAAAACTGCAATAGTTCTTCACATTTAAGGAATTTGTGAAATTTAGAAAAACAAAATACAAGCCTTTAATCTCAATTAAAATTCACTTTTTAATACAAAATGTTAATGTATCATTCTGAACTATTTCATCATGTTGAGAATTTTCTAAAAAAAGGTTCTTGGTGTAAATAAAAGCCAAATATTTTTCTATTGGAGCCAAAATGCAGGGCGTGGAGACAGAATGGCGGGAGACTTGGTGACGTCACGGAGGCTGGGAGACCAGTTTTGCGGGGCCTGGAGGTAATTCTGCAAATCCAGAGGCTCGGAGGTCATTTTTGCGGGGATCATGGCGCCTCTGCACCCCCTCCCTCATTCAGTTCCCACCGGGCCGCTGGAGCAGAGGCCACAGGAGGAAAATTTACAATTACTTTTTTGGAAAATTAAAATCTTACTTAACCACAGGTTTTCCAGACTAATTTTGTCTACAAAACATCCCTGGCACAGCTCTGGATGTTATGTTGACTAAATTGGTCTGGGTAACCCTTGGTAAAGTAAAATTCCCTTAACTTTCCTGTTAAGTAGTTGTAAATAATTAATATTGAACTTAGTAATTTACACTAAACACACTTATTACTCTTCCAAAAGGGATGGTAATTAACACTTGGGACAATAATAAAATAATTACCACTTCCAGAATTTTTACATCTTCCTCTTTGTTAGTTGTGTAGAAGAACCTTTAATCAACAATATTAATTTCTGATCAAAAAAAACTTTGTAATTTCAATTATTCATAAATTAAAAAAATACAAATAGAACACTAGATGTTGTCTATTTAAGATTTAAGGGGTTTTCTTTCACAATAACCCTGAGGCAGAAGCCCAAATGAGTACCGCACAGGCAATTTTGAATTACGAGACAGAGAGCATGTACTTTGGGTCTCTGCCTCAGGATTACTGTAAATGAAAAACCCCTAAATCTTGAAAAGACGACATCAATGTTCACAATGTTCAAGTTTTTTCAAAACTTTTTAATTTCAATAATTTTCAATTTTCATTTCTTATAAAAAACCTTGATATTTTTTACAATTTACAATAATCATTTTTGATCAAAATTCAAAACCTTTTATATTAATTATAATAATTCATTATTGGAATTTCTAATCAAAAACTTTAATTTCAATTATTTTCAATATTCACTTCTGATGAAATTTTAATTCAACTATTCACAATCTTTATTTCTGATTGAAAAAACTTGATAACTTCAATTATTTCCGATACACTGATTCATTGCTGAAATTAGTAGCACTGTTTGAGAATTTTATCAGGGTGTCAAAATAAACATGAGAATCAGCATTAATCAAGCAATTTCCCAAAAACATTTTTGCAACTTTAAATTTGAAAAAAAAAAATTCTGTTTTAAATGAAGTTTTCGTAACCTGAATGTTTGAACACTAAAAATATACATAATTCACTTTTTAATGGGGAATAGGTAAAAATTGTACTGTCTTCAATTCAACAAATGTGTTTAAAAAGTGTTTTGATCTTCAAAGTTAAGTCTAGTAACATAAAAGCTATCCCCCCCCCCCCAATCAAACATAAATTCTTGGATGGTTTCATGAGGAACTGGGCATTGAACCACTCCCTTCTGCTACTAGAAGGAGGGGGCACTGGGCAGGGGGATTATGAGTTTGGAGTCTGAGAGTTCAGAGGGTCAGAGTCCAGAAGCCCACAGTTATGGAGGTTCAGCAGAGCAACCTGATTCTAAAGGGGGCCAGAATTCAGTGCCGCATGTCCACAGATCTAGTCCTCAAATCAGTCCAGATTCCAGAGTCCAAAGAGACTAGAGTTCAGACTATGCTCCTCTATGTAATCTCTTGATCCAATAATTATGGTTTACATTAACCCAAGCTTAGCCTAGATATAGGCTTGAATAGAATCCAACAGTTTTTCCTGCAATGGAGAGAGGATTTTTCCTGAATTAGTCAAAGAGATTGGCAGTGTTCATGCATGAAGAAC